TCTCTCTCTCTCTCTCTCTGTGCCGCAAGTGCGACAAAGCTCCTGTGGCGTCTGCGGCTCTGGCAGCATGCGAAGCCGCGCCAAGCGATGCAAGGAGCTGTTCCCGACCATCCTCGGGTCATGAAAGAGTTGGATGAGTTGGCGACGTAGGAGGCATACAGTACCAGTTCCCGCAGTTGAATTTCTCTATTGCCCGCGTTTGGTGCTCGTCTGGAATGCAGCCTTAGGTCTGATCGGGGACACTCAGCGTCTGATACTGGTTGACATGGAAGAAGGCGTTTCCGATGGCCACTTCAGACACCTAAGGAGCAACGCAAGCCCTTGCACCACCCTGCCGCCTCACTTGACGCGTCAGTATCTAACCGGCCTGGTCGTGAGCAACCTCGAAATTCGCGATTCGACGACTCTTGAAATCCATGAGTTGGTAGTTGTGGCCTGAATGATGTCACTCTGAGCTATCTCTGGTGTGCCTTAAAGCTGTCATGCAGATCACTGGTAAGACAACTGCCCGCCTGCTGCATGTCGCTGGGATATGATGCGCTGGGCCTCGTCCCAACCTGCTTGCCGCCCGTGCCGCTCCGTCACGCAACAAGACATGACAGACAGCACCAGTGCCTCTGTCTACTTGGGTGCACCTAGGCCCCTGCAGCCTTCTGCTAAAATCACGATAGCTTCACGTCGTGTCAGGCTGAGTCTGCCGATTGCCGAACGTCAAGAGCAACAGGCCTCCCGCTGTCAGCAGCTGCCTGCTAATGAAGTTGCGACCGAGACCAGCAGGATCCTTGGATGAAGTTCGGTGTGGGGGTTCATGATCCTCATCGTTTCGGCTTTGTGTTGAGGACTTCTGTGTTAGTGGACGCTTCATGCCGATGGCATGTCTGCTTCGAAAATTGTCTTCTTGACATGGCTGAGGATCTTGCTGCCTTGCCGCTATCTCCGTTTTGACGGCATGTCACGTCCGTTGAAGATTTGGGCTCTGAGAGCTTGCCATCCAGAGATTTTGCCATTGCCGGGGGCCTTCTGAGTCCGAAAGTCTGCAAGCGGTGTGGTTCGTTTGGATGAGTCGTTGCTTCGCTAGAAAACACTGTAGAAAACCGCTTCCACAAACGCTTCTGCGCACACAGTGAGGATTGACTTTTCGCGTCGCAATACCGAGTAATCTCCATCTTTGTTTGTAGGTTAGCGAGAGCGCAACAAACACAAGCACAGACTGCCGTTCAAGTGTTGAGACGACATGATTGGAAAAACACGGACGGCCGATGTGAAGAATGTAGAACCGGTGGAGTTTCTGTCTCACCGACGAGCCCCCTTCGGTCCGCTTCCGGAATGGCATCCCAACAGTTTTGTGAAGGATCTAGCAACTCCCGGCCAAAAGCGACCGCAGCCAACAACGACCACAGCAGCAGCAGCAGCAGCGACAGCCTCACAGCAGCAGTATCAGCAGTAGTGGCCACATCTGAGGCGTCCCAACGATCCCAGACCAACGTGTTGCAAACACAGTCGGCCAACAACAGCACCAGGAGGAAAAGCCGTCTGCAACTTAGCCACGCAGTCTCCCGGACCCACCCAATTCAGCGAGAATGCAATGCCCTGCTTGTTGAAGGCGAAGGCCGACCTGTCAGAATGAGAAACGATTCAAACGTTGGCCACAGCACTCAACTACGCAAGCCAGGTGGCATTCCCCCAAGTAGATCACCGGCATAATTTAGAACAGTGAAATTGCTCTTCCCGAACTGGACGAAAGCAGCAAATAGCCACTTGTCCTGGGCAACTATTCAAGAAGACAGGGACCATGCAAGGCAGGTCATTCTTCAGCTTGCTCTAGCATCCTCGCACACTCGTTCCAGCTTTCTGCAGGCAAGCAACAGCCAAATCACCGTCCTCGTTGTGCGCATCAAAACAGTACTGCGAGTTGCCTTTCAGCGAGCACAAGCTGCGCTTTCGTTGCATGTGACTGTAAGACTGCATCAGCTGTGCCCACCCACTTCTTGATCCGAAGCCTACAGGCTCAAATGCAGTCTTGCAGCAAAGCATAGAATCCTTGGTGATTGGGCAACCAACTCGCTGAAACTGGCTGAAACCATGAAAGCCAAAGAGTGCCCAAGCCATCCAAGCGGATGCAAAGTCTCGGTGCAGTGGTCGACTATTCGGGGTGTGGCCGTCAAAGTCTCTTGACAATATGCCAACTCCTCCTGCAAAGATGCTTTGCTGCAGCCAGTGATGAGCTGTGATGAGCTCTCTAACAGAAACAAGCATTCTTGGCTTTCTCCTGGAGGCTCATGGCAAAAAGCCGCTCGTTGGACACATTGGCACCAGATGCAATGCCCCGCAGCTCCTCGACAAGCTCTGGCACATGCCTTGGAAAGCCGGAGAGCTTTCAGCAACCTCTGCGATTTCACACCTCACATAGCTGAGATGCTTCTCGTGGTTGGCTAGCAGCTCCTGAAAAAGCTGTTGACACCTCGGAGTCTTCCGTAGAACTTGACGCAACTTGCCACAACACACAACGTCGGGTGTCGGGTGTGAAGTCAAGTCCCATCGCGCCTGCTACTGTTCAGAAGCTGGTCGATAGCAACTTCCTGAGGCACATGCCGTCAACCGAGCAAGCATGGCTCCAGGTCTGGATGTACATGTGGTGGGGTTGCATATAACTCATATAACTAGAGTATGACAAGTTGCGTGAGATGCAAGTCTTGCCCGCACCGCTGCCCGGTAGCCTTGGACAAGCGACACAGCCCACCCGTCTCTCAATCACTTGTTTCTCACCATCTCTCAGGATTTCGGCGCGGGGGCTGGAGCCCAGGGCCAGACCCAAGGAATGGTGATCCTGAAGTCGATCAAGCGTGCGATACAAAGAGCAGTGGAGGCCCCTTTTCGAGCCTCCTCCTCGCTCTGGAAGTGGAAGTCAGGTAGCAAGCTCGCTGTTTCCGAAGTAAGAATCTGGAGCAGCCCAAACAGCCCAGCCCATCGGACATGCACCATGGTTTTGGGTTCAAGCAGGTTTTCAGCACATGAAACTTTCTTGCACGTGAAACCTAGGGCCCTAGGGGTCCATGCTCGCCTCTGTATCCTCTTCGAGTCTTTCGGGTGTCATTTCAGGCTGAGAGCCGAGACGCGCGCGGGCGAGGTGTCGCTGAGTGAAAGAACCACACAAAGAACCAAGAAATCTCTGAGAGAACTGTAGAGATGAGGGCGCTGCAATCTCTGGGGACGCAGGCCAAAAGCCAACGCCCAGCAGGACCTGAAAGACAGCCCCATCCCGGAAGCTGCCCAGCCCTGTCTTGGAAGGCTGCTCTATGCCGAGCAGCTCCACCGGGCTTCACTTTGGACTCCCAGAGAGTCATTTGCTCCTGCTTTCCGATGGCTTCGACATCAGCGATTCGTCACTGCATGTCAACATTGATTGCCAAATCAAACTTTGAACTGACACAGATGGTTCATGCTTGGAACAAAGGCTGCCTGCGCATCGTCCGCAGAGCGCCCACGGAAATCAACCAGGGCCATGTCCATGGACCTACTGGCCGGGAGCTCGGAGGCAGCTCTCAGCATCACTTATCCAACCTTGACGGGAAGGCATCTGCTGCCCTCCTCGGGTGCGCGGCTTCAGATGAACACAGAGACAGGCGAGCGGCAGTTGGGCTAAGTGTCTGTAAGGATGCGAGGTAGAGCACACCACGGTCCCCCAACGATGTCTGGAGCTCGGCCTTGCACTGGAGGTCGGAGGCTTCTGGATTCTTCTGACGCTCGAAGACTAGAAAGGCAAGGGCTCGTCGCTGCTCGAAGATGAAAGCTCGCCCTTCACAGGTCGGGTTACTTCTGACGCCAGGTTGTTTGGACACCACCGACACGCTTACGGGGCATCCACGTCGAAGCCCTTGTCCCCCTGACCCTGCCCTCTTCCGCACGTGCTGCTTCCTTGGCACACTAGGTGCCGAAACTGTCCCAAGCAGTATCCGAAGGCATGCGACGGCCTGCATATCTGACGAATGCCCACAGGGACCGACAGAACACAAGATCGCCACGACAACTCATTACAAAGCCGCATGGATGCACCGGGGACTCACATGAACAGGAACCGCTTTTGTGCCAAGTCATCGTGGCCCGAACCTTCGATCTCAGAAGGCTGGTCAGGCTCAGCCATGATCCCAGCCTTGGACTTAGTCATGCTGTTCAAGCCCAACTTGCCGCAGCGCATGAAGATGCCATCGGATCCCCGAGCTCTGGGCATATTGCACACCCGGAAAGTCTCTGACAGCGGCAAGTGCGTACCAGTCCTGCAGGAATATCATGGCTCGCACAAATGTCGTCATAGTCGGAGTTGCGCTGCCCCAACCAGCCTCCAGAGGCACACCGACTTCCACGAGCGCCATCTGGCTCTGGCCATTGCGCACCATGGTGCCTGCGTCTGCATGAGGGACAGCAGATGCAACTCATCGACTTTCCGTGACCGCATGCGCCTTGCCTACCACGGCAGAAATCATGTCCTGAAAGGACATGTACCTGCAGCAGCTGGCCATCGTCAGATGTGTGAGATGCAAAGAAAACTAAAGAAAACTTTAAGGGCTTGGCTCTTCGTGTAAGATGAGGACAGGTGCGCCGCGGCCTGGAACACGGAGTCCGCGAACCTCGCTCGACAAGCCACATGGTGCAGGCAAAAACGTCGGACTTTTTCCGGGTATCCAGCCCATGCGTGCATTCCTTGGCAGGACTCGAGGAGAAATTCTCCCACCGCAGCTCTCTCTCTTGCAGGCTCAAGATCTAGGGCAGCTCTCTCGCCTGAGCTAAACGGGTTGTGCTGCAACCTAAATCATCAGGCAAGCCTATCCAGGCCTATCCAACTATGCAATGCCGAATAGAGACTGAGCCGGCATCCGAGATGCCAAGACAGCATGCGTGCTCGCTGACCTCGATTCCAAGCGACAAACAGCCACAGAGCAGGAGAGAGGTCAGCAAAATAGGGAGAGAGCGAGAGTGACAGCGAGAGTGCGGGCAAGAGCTGTGCTTGGCTGAGTTCTGCGACCCACAGTCTGTGCCAGCCTTGCGCCAAGCTCCGTAGCTGCGAGGCCCGCGGAAAGGCCTGGCCTGGATACAAAGTCCGGAGAAAACGATGAAATCCACCCCGGATCCTTCCATATGCTCGTTGCGTCACACCGTGGCCCGAGCAACTGCCGCAAGAAAGCCTGCAAGTCCTTGCAATCCGTCCGGGACGGCTGCTGTGCACAAGGAAAACTAACTGGGCCGAGATGTCGGCTGATCGCACACTATGCCCGACCTTCCCACAACAGTGCAATGCAGCAAGGAAAGCCTAGATACTCTGAGAGCTGCAATGCAGACAAGTAGCCCGAAGAAGTGGCGATCGCACCCCGGTCTCGGGCAAGTATTCCTCACATGCTGCTCTCCGTGTTGTCCAACAAAACCTACCTTTTGGCATTTGTGCCGTCTGTGCCATTAAACAACTTTGTGATTGGCAGCAACATCCAATGCTCCTTTGCAAGAGACCGCATGCGCTCGTCGAGTACCTGCCCCATCGCCTGGACTGGTGAAGTTGAAGAAAATGTCAATGTGGCAGGAAGTATTTTCCGGCCTGGACCGACCTGAACTGTTCCACGACCTCTCCGCACCGTGCATCCTAAGCCGAGCTTCTGTCCGCGTCGCCCTGTACAAGAGCGACCCTCGCCCTGAGAACGCCGCTGAATGCTGGCACAAGGTCAGATAGTCCAAAGTCGATCCGAGCACGGAGAGTCCTACCAGATCTGGGCCTGAACTTCTCACAATCGCCAAAACTCTCCCTGCCTACATCTCGCAGCAACTGGAACGTCGACAACTCCAAGGGGGTCCTGTCATGCACGAACGCAACACCTGCCATTATCTACCGCTGGACCGGCCTGCTCAACCCCTCGGCATGACCCTCAACCTGACTTCAACACCCAGGCGAAATACATCATCATAGCTTCACCCCCACATGTTCCCTGAAGGAACACAGTGGCCCCGTCCGCGCCCATGCACGTTAGCAGCGCGGCAAAACAATTGACTTCTGTCATGCTGCCATGCTTTGTGGTGTCCTGGCCTTTGTTCCGAAGTTCTCGGGTCAGCTGCCTGCAGGGCCCAAAAGGCATTTGTTGCAGAAATGCACCAGCTGCCACACGTTTGGGAATGCACATCTCTCGGCGGGGCTCTCCTTCCTCGCTCACTGTCCAGTTCACGAACCATGAAAGCAGGATACGGCTAGCGTGCTTCGTGAAAGGCTCGGCTCAAAGTAAAAGCTTCTTGGGCCTGGCCAGCTGCAATCACGTCAACATCCTCTGCTTGCTGTGGGCTCGCCAACAGCCACTCGTAGAGCGCCTAGCAAAGCTGCTGCAGACTTCAATTCCCTGGCCCCTGCCAAACGGCCAGGCTTAGATGGAGTATGATGAAGTTGAGAGCGCCTGGAACTCGGCAACGCCGCAGGCAGTGATGCACTGCTGGAAGTTGCTTGCGCAGGGCAACAGCCTGTGGCAGCATACGGGCAAAGACATACCATGTCCCCGTAGTCCGTGCGTGATCTCAGTGACTTAGTGCAGCCAATTGACTGGGCATGCTGCTGCACGGAATTGAGTGCGGCAGTCTGCCCCAAAACGCCTGGCGGGGCAACCGACGAAGATGCCAACAGTGACCCAATGCTTCCGCCTCGTGTCACGAGAAGCGATGCCGCATGGCAAACCCGGGGCAACACCCCGCCCATGTGGTGCCAACGGCTGGCTACAAAATATTGCTTCTACAGATGCTCAGTACGACTGAGACACTCCATTGAAAGCAGTGTAGTGCTGGCTGCTGGCAAGCATGTGTGTGCGCGTTTGTTTGCGTGGCCTCTCCAACATGCACAAAAATGTAAGGTCCCGCAAAGGCTAGAAAGAAGAAGCCGATCGGCTCCCTGTGGGCAAGAGCGGCAAACACTCCGGAATGCAGGGCTGGAGTGTAGAGATTGCAAAAGCCAAGCACTTTTCAGTACCATGAGACAAATAGACCAGGATAATTTGCATCTCGCCTGCGCACCGTGAGTCTGTAGAAAACACTGGGAGGTGTCAACCGAGGCTGTTGCAGCCTGCTGGCCTGAAGCCTTGAAATCTCTGCACACTAAAAGCACGGAGCGGCGGTTCGATGCACGAAAGCATCAGCCTCATCCCGCGCGATTTCCTCAAGCATTCTGCCTTCAGCCGCTACAACGCTTCAACGCTTCGCCACGCTTCATGGAAGGCAAAACACTCGAAGATTGAAAATTCGGAGGCTTGGCCGGGAAACTCTACCGGCCTACTGTGTAGGCAAACCAAGCATTGCCGAGCCGCTTGCAACTCGAGCTTTCTGTTTCAAAATGGAATGTGACATCGGCACATCTGGCACTTGCACCTGCAGGACACCGCAAAGTGCTGCAGAAGGTCCGAAACATTCCGAAACATTCAGAATCTCCATGTCACCTCAAGCCAAGGTGCTTCCCTCTAAGAGGGCCTTCGTCGTTGGTGAAACATGCCTGAGCAAGTCGGAACGTCTTAATCCCAGATGAAGCTGCGCTCACAAATTTTAAAGTCCTTTACAGCCTGTAACCTCATCGAAGAGCTGCAACTCGGATGCTCTATTATCTCGACAAAGCCGGCCATCTCGAGGAAGTGGTCTCCCCTGGTCAAACGCAATTGGAGGGACCACTTTCTTTCTGTCAGAAATCAGAGCAGATCACAGCATCAGTCTTGTGCATGTGTTGGATGCGTCTGGTGCTTCACATCTACACTGCTATCCAGACGGGACAAGGGATGGGTGGACCACCAGAATCGCCGCAACGCCTCAATGGTGTAAAGCCTGGGCAATCGCCAATGGATACAGCGCTTACAGCTTCAAGCTACTCAGCATGCATCCGTAGCTTGGCAGGATGCCGACACTTCACAACAAGAAGAGGTTAGTTGCGTGCCTATTCTGCCTTAGCTGGCCTCATTTGCATTCACAGATAGAAAGGAGAGAGTCTCTCCCGAATCATGCAGCTCACAGCCTTGATAACATGACATCGTCGTCGTGACAGATCGCGGCAGGCAACACAGCAGCCAGGAACGGTAGGAGCAGTTGATCCCCGAGAGGGCTGTTCAAGCAGGAGGAAGAGCTTGATGGAGCTACTCTCGCTGAATGTTGATGCAGAATCGGTCCTGCCCCCTGCTCCAACTTTCTCCCGACTTGTAAACTTGAAATCAAGTTGCAAGGGTCCTGGTCGCCGACCCCCGAAGTGACGTAGATTGCTCCCACGAAAGCTGTCATCAAGCTTCCAGCAATGAAAACGCTCGTCGAAATTCGAAGCACAGGAAAACCGCAGAGGGGGGCTCAAAATGAGGCGCGCAAGGGCATGCGGGAAACGAGCTTGCAAGGGAGTACACATCATCATGCTGACAGCATACAGGAAGGGCAGTGATGCTTCGCAGATCTCGGGCTCCGATAAGCTGCAGGGACCTGCGGCCCACCCATCATCGTGCCACCGCAACAATCAAGATCTCATGGCACTGAAGCTGAATTGGCGACTCATTCTGTCCTTCACCGTTCTTATCCTCTCATGGGTCGTTCTGTGTCGTTCTTGCTGTTCGGCTCACTAGCAGGACCTTGCTCTGCGAGAGCCATGCAAGGTTGAAAGGGGCTTGCCGATACCCTGCACTTAACTCGTTCTCTCTGCACCAAATGCTGACGATATTCATGGGATGAGGGCTAAGCCAATCTTTCAGTGGAGACCAGTGGACGACTGGAAGCTGAACGTTGGACTTGGAACGATCCACATCGCTTTGAAGATCTTTCCGAACGGCATTGAAAACTGCGCCGCTCGTTTGCACATTCCTGTAATTACACAGTGGGCATCGCACGTATTACAAGATGTTCCTGAACGTGGGGGGGCAAGCGCGTGTCTGCGCAGAGAGAAGCACGTCTCGTCCGAAAATGAAACGAACTCATCCGAAGCGTTGGTTGCCCTCTACAGGGCTCTTCTTGCATGAATCGGGTGCCACACGCAAAATTACAAGCCTTTTTCGACTTAAATGGAGGGGAATCCAATCCAGTCTTCGCGCGGTGAAGCTCATTCCCGAATGGGATGACGCCTAACTGGCTTCAGGCTAAGACATCTGTCACGCCCACTACGAAGAACCGCAAGCGCGGTTTGTGTCTCGATGAACTCACACATCCTGCACGAGCTCAAACTGCGATGCGCGGAATTTTCTGCATGTGCGTCTTTCTACCCGATATCAGGCGAACGAACTAAACCGAAACAATGACGAAATAACTTCGGGTTCTGCAAAGTGGCAATATGTAGGTGCTGCTCGCATGCTTGCGGCTGCTGCAGGACCTGGAGACCGAAGCACTTGAAAAGCTTCTATTGATTCTATGCTGCGTGACAAGGACCGTTCCGATAATCTCTTGGGTGCCGAGGCGCTGCAGAGCGGCCTTGGCCTTCAGAGTCCTGGGCTTTGCTTTGCTTTGCCCTCGCGTCCTTCAGAGCCCAAGCACCCTTTGAGCCTCCAGAGCGGAGTCAAGCGGAACCTGCCACTTGGTGGCCTTCCTGGGCGGTTGCAGGCATCACGTATCGGCCACACAACACAATCGAACACTCTGTGTTGGGAGCTTGGCGACGATCCTTCGGAGCGGAGATTGCCTCGGCACACCCGGATGCCGCAACCCCATCAGAACAAAAAGGGCCACAAATGAGGCAGCCTCGGCTCGAGGGTCTGGAAAGCGAGTTCGACGCGACCGGTCCACAAGCCTGAGACTTTATATAGTCCATTGAGGGATCGAGTTCCATCGCGGCTTGGTGAAATCAGATTGAATCTGCAGAACCGGAATCCGAGAAATGCAGCTTTGGTGCCTGGTCGCGCTCTGCATCAGACTCCATGACGGACTCAAGCTGACCGCTCGACAAACAGTCCAGCATAACCTGTTGGTGTTCTTCACACACTGAGCCACAGAGCATTGAGATGTATCAAAACAGCCGGGGGGAGCCGTGATTCCATCAATTCCCTGCTTACGTAGTCGGAATGATGGCACGCACACATGGGATCTTGGCATCGAAAACCCTTGCCTCAGTCCCGCTCGCGGAAGAAGGACTCAAAGTGCTCTTGCCTTTGGGGGAAGGACCAGGTTGATACCTGCTTCACATATGATAACGCCGGGGGCCCGACTGGTCACCTTGGCAGGAGTCGGCAGTGAGGCATCGCTTCCAGTTCTGCTGCCATCTCTGCTGCCAGTTCGCTTCGAACCTGCCCCGACAAAAAACTGAAGTAGCCTGGCTCCAATGTCACACTGACAAATAGGAATGAAATTCAATTGCTCTGATCGGCATGCCAGGTACTTGAGGAGCAAACACATGACATCAGTGTTGAACCTTCCACCTCAGGGCCTCACCTGACTTCGCCATCGATTTCCGAAAACAAGTGACCTGCCTCCTGAGGACAGGATGCGACCCATAATGCCTGGCCAATGTGGCTTTTTAGCATTCTCCGGCGAGCTCAGGACCTCAACCCAGTGGCAAGCAAGAACACGTGTTCAGCTGCATGTCAGCCTCTAGTCTACCAGCCGGTGGTCCGTCATGGCACTTCTACCTTCGGCGTATCAAGCTGATCTCCATAAGAGCGCATAAGAAAGAAGGCAGAACAGCGAATGGGCAAGTCTGCTCTGCACTCAACAAGTAGTGGTCGCAAGGGAACGAAAGCACGTGAACTACATTAGAGGTCAAAGCACACAGCCCACCACCCTATCGATGTTTTGGATTGTACCTCCGTCCAAGCCATACGTCGTCCTGTGTGTGTGTGTGTGACGTGCACGTCTCTACGTATGTCTGTCTGTGTCTGCTGTTTCTGTCTGTCTGCGTCTCTCACTATCTGTGCGCATGTGTGTATGTGTGTGTGTGTGTTTCTGTTTCTGTCTGTTTCTGTTTCTGTGCGGGTCTGTGGCTGGTCGGCCGGTAGGTCGGTCGGCCAGCCTGCATGCCCGTCTCTGCATGCATGCTTTCATATGTGTGTGCCTGTGTGCGCACGTATGCGTACACACGCATGTGTGTAGTCATATATATATATATACATACAGAGAGAGAGAGAGAAAGAGAGAGAGAGAGAGAAAGAACGTTTGTATGTAAATATATATAGTGTATATATAGCGCGTATATATACATATACATATACATATACATATACAGTGTATACATATATATATATATGTATGTATGTATGTATGTATGTATGTATGTCTGTGTATATGTATATTAATATATGTATATGTACACATGTATGTATTTTTACATATATATATATAGTAGTAATAATGATATATAATAGAAAATACATATAAAAATATATGTGTATATGTACATATATATATATATGTATATATACATATGTCTATATATATATAATGTACATAACATATATATATATGTGTGTGTGTGTATAATGTACATAAATATATATATATGTATATATGTGTATACATAGAGAGAGAGTGATGTGTATATATATATATAGCTATAGCTATAGCTATAGAAATAGATATAGATACAGATTCAGATACAGATACAGATATAGATATAGATGTATGAATATTATAATATATATATATACATGTATGTATGTATGTATGTATGTCTGTATGTATGTATGTATGTATGTATGTATATATCGAGATACAGATTTTTTTATAGATAAGGTATGTAACGCATGTATGTAAGCATGTATGTGAGCATCTGTGTATGTTTGCATGCATGTACATATGTTTTCCTGTATGTTTGCGTGTGTGCCATGTACGCTATGTATGACATCTGAGCAATGTATGCTACTTGTACGCATGCAATGCGCGTAACGTGTGCTAGATATCACTATGCATGTTTGGTGGGCTTTGTCAGCTCTGTATGCTGCATATGTTGCGTATGCTATGTCTGCTAGGTGTGTTATGTATGTGACATGCAGGAAAATATGTAGTGTATGCACAGCATTCAATGTATGTGATGTATGCGATGTATGTGCGGATGGAGGGAGGGGTGTGCATGCTTGTATCCATGCGTACGTCGGTATGTATGTTTATGTATGATCATGTATGTATGCATATGTATGTATGTATGTACAAATCAAGACAATTCCCTACAAATATGAGACAAACGGTTGAGCTGCCAGAAAATTCTGTTGCCGACCCTGCATTGGGCTGCAAAGCGGCATCCTGAACACGCTTCTGATACTCGGTGAGCGACACCTGCAGGGCACGGCCCGCATAGTACAGAGGCACCCTGTCCTCGAACCCTCTGCCGTCCAAGCCTGGCTGCTCGACTTCTTGGCGACGAAAGATCCGCGCCGAAGCTGAATCAGGCTGCGGCGACCACGCTTAATATCAGCACCTGAAGGGATGTTTGCAAAAAAGCCTATGCAAAGCGGCAGAAGAGCCACGAGAGCTGCCAATATGCCCAGCCTTGCTCAACTTCCGACGCCAAGTTTTTCCACAGGGTGTCAAAAGCTGGCATCACACGCTCCCTCTCCATGTCAAGCAAACATTCCTCGGATGGCAACCCTGCAAGTTCGAATTGCGTGTACTGCATTGTACTGCTTCAGCGCATCTGCACGTTCACAGCTCTTGTGAACTCTGCCGCTTCTGTTGGCGATCCATGGCGATCCCTGACAACTACAGCCGGCAGCCTGCACACAGTCGAAGCATCAAGCTGCGAAGGAAATTTGGGGTAGGATCAAAGCTTAATCGATGCGCCATGCGTCATGATCCTGAACATGTTGTCCGGATAGGCGTGGCAGCTGTGCCGAGATCGGGTCCAAGAGCAACAAGAGGCGGTTGTTCATGTCATGCTGCATGTCATGAACCTTGCAATAGGCACTGTGCTCGAAGGAAACAGTTGATGAACGACAGCACGGAAGAAAAACTTGGAGCCAGCCGTACAAAATGCCGTCTTGCAAGCCAACTTGTATGTGTATCACAACCCTCCACAATCGCAGGCTAGGCATTTTGCACCTCGAACGGGCTCTTCTGGACCCTTTTGGGCGGGCGGGCTCGTTTTAAACCTGCTGCGCTTTGGGGGGAGGGCGGGCCTCCTTTGTGGACGTCGTAGACAGTAGAAAATGGACAGGTAGTTAGTAGTTAGTAGTGGTGAGTATTAGTAGTCGTGTAGTAGTAGTAGTAGTAGTAGTAGTAGTTGTTGTTGTTGTTGGGGAGAGAGGGGCTTCTGTTTGAACCTGCACGGGGACGGGAGGTGTTTGTTAGACCTGTTTTTCTTTTTCTTTTTTTTTGGGGGGGGGGGGGATAATGTTCGTCGCGCGCCCTTTTGCGGGCTTGTGTACGTCGTAGGCAGTAGAAGATGGGCAGGGTAGTTGGTAGTTAGTAATAGTGTTTTACCCACACACCCACACATTGCGTAAAGGCAAGGCCACAAGCGACCCTAGCTTTGAAGATTATTCCTCTTGTTTGCTCCATGACCCACATGTGCTTAGGTAACAGTAGCAGGAGTAGCAGTAAAGCTTGGTTGGAGGGGGGAGCGGCGGCTTCTTTTCAAACCTGCGAAGGGGAAAGGGCCGGGCCTCCGGATCCAAGATTCCGGTTACACACTACAATGGGGGCAAGCAGCCCGAGTCTTCAAGAAGTGAGCTTGTCACAGGGTTTAAGGTGAACTGCTACGGGATGGCTTGGCTTGACGGGAGGAGGTTCTAGCAGGCATTGCGTGAGCTTCGCTTGACGTTGATGTCAAGTGCAGTGAACTTTGTTCGGCAAGTTGTTGCGTACTCTGGTCAGTGGATGACATGTTTGGGGATTGTCGTTTGTGCTTAAGCGTTTGACTGATTAGTGTTGGCAATTGCCAAATCACTAAAACCACAATCGTGGCACAAACGGATTTTACCAGTTTGCCATCTCGGGGATCTTTTTGTCGTACAACTCTGTACGGCTGTTCGGGTGCAAAAGGAGCCCATGCCAGTTGTAGTGAATCAAGCTCCGACTCCTCAATGGCCGGCCACTGCTTCGATGCCTTCTCTGGACAGCGCATGAAGGGGAAAGGGATCGAGCGCACCTGCTAATCAGTTGCCTGGACGACCTGTTCAATGCACGAAAGTGCGTGGATGGTCAACGCGTCAGTCGAGCACCTTGGGTTGATAACCACCAGCACGTTGGGCGCCAGCGAAGGCATGCGAAAAGCTGGCACGTCGATGCCCAAGAGCGGTCTGGCACTTTATGAAAATCGACTGACAGCACGCAGCTGACCTTACCCCAATCCCTAGTGGAGTGATTGATGGCAGCAGCCAGCACCGATGGACTTTCGTCGCAACGCAACATTTCAAGAATCCGATGGGGTGGAAGGCACTACAGATGAAGCTTCTGCTGATAAAGAACCTGAAGCTGACCTCGGACGCACAGTAGAGAGCATCCTGGGCAGGGCGGTGCAACAAGAGGTTGGGAAGAATGACTCTTCCAGAACTCAACAAACCTGAAGCCCTTAACTTTGGCGTGTGAAACGGCGGTGATTTGGAGCTGTCTGCAGGAGGTTGAAATGAAGTAGAAGGCTCCGCCGACGGAGCCTCAAGAGACGCTGCGTCCACAGGTGTGCTTCGAGAATGGACGCGTCCAATTCTGACGACTCTTCGTCAAGCAGAGGGCCTGTCCTGTAAACAGTGAAGCCAGGCTGCTCAAGTTGCTGGATCCGCAGGGAAATCTTTTCAGTTTTACGCCTCAAGCAAGAGACGTCAGAAACCTCGACTCCCAGGGCAACCCGTGCCAGTGTAACCAGGGAGACGTGCCACAGGCGAAGGACTTTCAGCCAGAGTCCTTTGCGCTTGCCGTTTGCCGATCGGCCTCCGCGAGAAGCGCTTCGCGTTGCAATGCACGCTTCAGTCAGACCTCTCAGCTCTTTCGCCTCACGCAGTGCAACGAAGGAACCCCGGTCTAAATCTTCATCCAGTGCAGTTACTGTGGCTTACTACGTCCCCCAGTGCCGTAACTGTGGCTTACGAATCCCCAGCACCTGAATCGTTGGCTTAACTGAAGGCCTAGCGGCTACCGGATGATTCGGTCGACTTCGTCGTGTCACTACACACAACCGAAGGGATCATCAACCACGACCAATGAAAAGTACGCGGGTGGCTGTGGGCCGACGAAGTCTTTTTTGTCCTTGACCAGGCTTTCTTCCTGGGGGTCTGGAACGGCCCCCTTGGAGGCCCCCGCTGGTTGCCCCCTCTAAGTCGTAAGCCGTGCGAGTCAGAAACAAAAAAAAGACATAGTAGGTGGCTTGTGGCCTTGTCCACCCGAAGGAGGGCCGGAATCGAGCCTTTTCCGGTCCAGGCGAGAACGGCAGCAGCACCATGAGGTGAGGTCCAAACAGCTGAGGGAACCCTACCCCCCGTCCATGGATGAGACACGTCAAGGAACAAAACCCAAGGGGTCAAGTAAAAAATCCCAGGCCCCGCAATCGCACACATCTGGGTCACGTACATCCAAGTCATTGGCATCTGCACCAAACGGGTTCTCGAGCCTGCAGGAGACAAAGCGACAGTTCAATTCATCTTCGCCTTCTATTCAACATTCTTTACACTTGTGTGGCACAGGCTTTCGACTGCGAATTTGCTCTGCCCAAGCTGCTCAATTGCTATGGAATGCAGGCTCCACAAAATGAACACAGTGATAAAGGTGATGACGCCTCGGACACGGAAACGTGCAAATCGCTCCAACAGACAAAATAGCCAGGACCAGCACATGCCGAGGCGCAGGAGACCGCCGGAGTTTGGGTCCCAAGCACCATGACAAACGGTGTCACGATCCAGTGGATGACCAGTAACATCAGCGTGGCTTGGGAATACGGGAAAGGTACTGCGATTCGCGCGATCTTGAGGCAGTCATGGAATTTGACCATACCACTCGCCAACTCGCTGTACGCTCGCGTAAGAATAGGTGATGGCGCCGACATTATCCCACAATCGATGCTGCAGACAACTATAGACTGGATCCAATGGAAGACGAGCTCGACTTTACACTCGGCTTTCTTCAACGCTTTCAGCGAGGTCACATCAATGCCAGTGCTGTCGATGAGGCCTGTAAAGCAGGCACCGGATTGGCAGCAGGAAAGTCTCTCATGCAAGCGAGGCATTGCAGCAGACTGATGAGGCAGTGAGTGTTGAGCCCAAGTTCAACCCAGCCACGCAGACGGTGCGCCCATCTGTCGTCGTCTTCGTCGTCGTCGTCCTCAAGCTCGGCCAGGCTGAGCGCGTGCAACATGCCTGAGGACAGGCACAAAGAAAGCACGGGTTACAAGGGCATTCCGATTGTCCTGATTCATACTTCGAGGTACTGAAGAGGCGCACCACTATCTGTCGGAACTCCCAAAGTTTCCTGGGTCGGACACGATGACAAAGAGTGCATGCCGAAGGGTGCATCAGGACTGGTCTTGTTGGGACGTCCTGGTTCTTCTGCCAAGATTCCTGGCATCTGCTTTGGAAGTCCTGGTGATGCATCCGGAAGTCAACGACTTACTAGCAGTGCTGGTGCTGCTGGGCAGATGCTTCAGCAGTTTGATGGACTTGTTTCTGGATAAGCTGCAGCTTGACTCGGCTATCTGGCGAATCTAGTCGGTACCTTCGTATGTTTTCTCTTCTGCCTCGAAAGAGAACCTGTGGCCGTAGATTCAACTTTAGATTCACCTTGGCGAAACTGGACTACCTTCATCACCTGCCATCACATTGGAGGACGTGAGGCGGCAGGCAGTCAAGAAGGCTTGCGAGTTTCTAACGCAGTGGCAAACTCAGTTGCATTTTCACACTAGCAGAATCTTCGAAGCGGCGGTTCAGCTCAGACCCAACCTTGTTGGCAAGCTGTGCTCCGAAACCCCCGTGCCACACTCTGATGAACAGCATGGGGCAGCCTTGTCGCAGTCGACCAAGCGGCAGTGGTCGGACCGGTCCATGACCGAATCAGTCGCGTTTCGACCCGTGGTGACAAAACTGCACAGTGCTTGTGGCATGGGTTGCGTGTGCCTTCACGCTCCAAGTGCGATGTTTGCTGTCCGGAGTTTGTTCAACGACGTTCTCACGGAGGCAGGTCGGCTTCCAACACTCACCCGAATGCAAAGCGAGCCTGGTGAACGAGATGATGCTGCTAGCTGCATCGAACCAGTCGCCACGCATCCTCGGTCATCTGCCATCTGCCGCTTCGCTTTGCTGGAACGGCTCAAGCAACCGACTTGCACCTCACTGCCGGCTTACTCGAACAGCCCAGCGTCTGATGCGTCAGAGTGCTCCCATCCCAGAATCCTTGGATTGAGATCTGCATTTAAGAACTACCCGCCCTTTGCAGTGGCAGTTCGTCGCCGACACCCTGCTGCTCAAAGCCTGAACCCGGAGTGAGCCCAGCATCTGTCGTAGGCTTGCCCAGTCCGAAACACGACCAGTATCCTGGCACAGTCTCGAGCCCAAGCCCACATGCACTCGTGTTGCGCACTCCCTGGACAGAAGGCGGGGCTGGTCGGGCGCATCTCCTGCTACTGTGCAGCGACCTCTTTAGATCTCTTTAGCTGCTGAAAGGTGCCTGCCTCGTGGTAAGGACCTACTCTGGGTGCCTGCCTGTCAATTGCACGATGTCGCAGGCATACTTCTGTCCATCATACCGGCTGATTCAGTGAAACAGTAACGGAACTGATTCAGAAAACGCACAGCTCAATACACCGCAGATCAAAGTCCCCCAGACGCGAATCGGATTGTACAGCAATTTGCGGCAGAGCTGCCCAAGAAGAGTTGAGAATGCGTTGTAGACCGTGGCATCCATCTCCGTGTGCGACAGAATATCAGTAAGGACTGGCCATTCGTGAACATCTCCATATTTGAAAAGGAAGGCCACCTGAGGTTTTAATCAGACGACACCCAAGGCTGCTGATGCCGAGATTGAACATGGTGCTAAGCGTGTGGGTCGTGGGTCTGGCAAGGCACCAGCGCGCAAGGCAAAGCTACCTTGGTGGCGAAAGGGAAGACGCTGCCGTTGAGGTGGAAGAGCGCAGACAGGCTGACACCTCAAGGGGGCACGGGACATGCGGTTTGCAATGCTTGGGCGCTTCAACACCTCGTTCGGCCAAGGGGCGACTTTTCAGCCGCGAGAAAGACAGCACCATCGCAACTGTTGAACATGGCACTCTAGCAAAACCACTGCAACTCCCAAAAGCACCGCACAATGGCAACGTCGATCGTGGCGGGTGCCAAACTGCTGCTACATTGGCTGCGTAGCGCCCGGTAGGGAGCACGTGAGCAACGAACAATGTCTCAGCGCACGACGCACATGTACCCAAATGGCATCACCCTTCACCCATCATGACTTGCATGCATCTCACATGGCCAAAGATCTCAGCTGCTACTGTATCCTGCAAGCTAGTCAACCCTCTCCGAGCCAATCCGAGGCGATCAGGGACCGTGCTGTTCCACTTGGTCCAAGGCAAGGATGATCAGAAAGGAAGTAGGGAGTGTTTCGTGCCCCCGCCTGATCAAGCTGTTTGACGCAAATAGAGCGGGGCTTTGTCAGATCTCAAGTCCAGCAAAAGGCAGAGTCCAGGCCTGCCTCACAAGTCCCCCACAAGCCAGAAATTGAAGAGTCCACAAACTTCAGATTGCTGTCTTTTGGAACTCTGCGACGCCTTAAAGCGCACGGATCGCAGACCCAAGTGTCATACACAACACAACAGCTCGAGGCAAACAGTAGCGAGTGGTTCGTGGCCGCGCGTGTTCTGCAACTCAACGATCTTGTAGTTCGAACTCAAGGGAAGTCTGTAGGACAAAGGCACGATGGTAGTAACACTATAGTTACCTTCAGGTGTTTGCATCTATGTTACTTTCTTCCGGCATGAACCGCACGACCCTATGCATGCGTCAGGCGCTGTCACCGACTACGTGCAAAGCATCAGGCCGAATTGAAGGACCGAATAGCTTAGACTTGTAGAAGAGGAGGACTGAGCGTCCGAAAGTCAGGTCGAATTCAGCCTGCTGCTTGCGCAACAAATGCTTGCAATCGCTTGCAAGGGCTGGTGGACTCATCTTGGCAGGCTAACAAAACTGTGATTCTAATTTGTAAGCTTTTCACATTCCGCATCTGATGCAAATCTGTCACTTCTAGCCGGTCTAGCCGTAGAGTCTAGCCATTGTTCGAGCCCTTCGCACAGCTCTGCGGCAGCATGCGGCCACTTTGAAAGGATGCCACAGGCGGCGCAGACTGTGATGCTGCTCAGCAGCAGAATGCTGCGCCAACAACCGGTGGCAGCCCGCCCGTGTTACAGGCACGACATGGCACGACAATGCGAATTCTGTCTTGCTTTAGACTCGCTGAGGAATCACATGCCGACTGCTTGTCTTGCAAAGCTCAGGGGCTTAGGAAGTGCGACCTCTCGAAACCCATGCGTTCAAAGGACGGCATGATGTCCCCGACTGCCCAGCATCGAACAGCCTCTGCGTTGCCGCTCTGCCTGGGCACATGAACGACCAAGGAATCAAATCCAACACAACTCAAGCATGAGAACTTACTCAACCTACGAGTAGCTTACTGCACCCTATCGCGAACCGCAAGTTACCGTGCCACACCCTATCGGCGTCATATGCGTCATGTTCCAGCAGGAAAACAACAGTATACTGTGTACTGCGGCAGCTTAAGCAGGTGGACCTAGCTGTCACTTGCCGGCTTCTCGGGCAGGTCAGCTGCCTCGGAGTTCGCCACCTGCACGGGGGCAAGACGTCAGAGCCGTAACAGGTTGGTCTTGCCATGTCTTGCCACATTCCCGTCCGAAGTCCCAACTGGACTAGCCCTATTCGGTCAGGGCCTCCTCGTTACTGCCCTGCGAGCGCCACTGGGCCCTTTCCTTGCCTCATAAAGGGTTCAACATGCCAACGTGAGTTGATTCAACACCTTCGCAGACATGGCAAGCATGGGGCTCGGAGGAGTCATCGGGGGTAGCTCGAAGTCATGTCGCCAAGACCTGGCAAGCGCAGGTCACCAAAGAAGCCGTAAGACCTCCGACTTTGAGTCTAATCTAATCGCGGTCAATCGAGGACGGAGGTACTGGTCAGCAAGAATGTTCGCCAGCCGAGTGCTGCCACCCACCGGCACCTGCGACGTCTTCTTGCCTGAGGGCTATTCATGCATGTTGCGCTACGACCTCGCATAGACAAGTATAGGGCCAAAGCGGGCCGGGCATGACCAGCGCTGACACTGAGAGGCTGGCTTGTCGAACGTCTTGTGAGGCTGTCAAGTGCCAGCTTCGCAGCTTTCGCACTCATCTGTGGCTGGAAGAGGCCTTTATCCTAGGCATGTATGGCAACAAGAAGATGTCAAAAAGGATGGCAGTCATCAGTAGCAGCATCTTAAAGGAGACCTACGGCGACCGAGACTGCCAGCAAGTTGGTCGATCACAGTTCCAGGAAGAGCTATAGATACAGGGCACGGTGCCTTGGCATCACCACCCGTCCCGGATAGCGCAACTGACTCCGAGCAGCCACATCTGGATCTCCACCCGCCGTTCCCATGCAGCTCATCCAGGTCTCGGAAGGTGCAATGTCACCTCACGGCGGGTAAGTTGGCGGAGGGTTAAATAAGACGCAGATCGCTCCATGTGGGACTCGACTTGTGGTTGACAGCCGAGAAACCTAGATCCTGCGCGCTGGTCTTCACGTAAGCGTGGCAGCGGCCTCCAAACAAGGAAGAATTCGGGCCGCCTCCTATCCCAAGTCCGTGCCCTTTTCCCTTTCCGAGCCTAGCTCTTTGCTATTGAACCAGTTGTAGGATCCGATGCGCCAGGCACCGTTGTGGTACCACATGCACTCGAGGCCCGCATCTCCTTGCAAAGAACAGCTCGAAAGAGCCGTCACTCCACAGACTGCGTCAAACGCTCGCACCGGTAATCGCGGGTGGTTCGTAAGTTGTTCAACCTGTTCTTGGCGTCGTCGCCTCCGCTCCCTGCGTAAGCTAGGCGAACTAGAAACCTAGTCCATGCCGCGTTTCTCATCGCTAGCCTCTAGCGTAGATTCAAAAATCGGACGACCAAAGACACCACAAGAATGGAGAGGTGCGCAATCGAAAGCAACACCTTAGGTACAGGATCCCCACACACACACACACACACACACATCATGTCGTCACGTCTTACTGTTGAGGACCGGAGACTTCCCACAGTCCTAGCAACCTCCTTTTCAATCTACTTCGGGCGGTTTTGCGGCAGTTGGGTTGCATGTTCTATAGATGCTGTTGCTTCTATTGCTTCTTGAAGCAACATTCTGGCCCAAGGCTTGGTGCAGTAGCATGCCAAGTGGAAGCAGTAAGGTTGCACAGTATGTCGAGGCATGCGCCGATTTACCCGTTGCACCCTTCTGCACCGTTGAAACGCACTTCCTTGGATGCCTAAGAGTACCCGGCATATGCCATGATTTATGCGGTGCCTCTTCGCCTCTGCCCGGAATCCGGAGTCATGTGGCATGCACGCAGCATACTTATTCTCGCTGTGAATGCATCAAGCGACCCTGGCTCTGGCTGTAAACCTGCTTGCCGTTCACGGTGTTTCCGTCGGGCACGAAAGTGCCGTTCAAGCCTCGGGAGGTATCGTAAGAAAATGTCGGCTTCCGTCAAGAACTATCCTTGTTTTGTAGGGCAAGACAAGGCCGTAGTCAGATAGTCCCAGTATGTCCCAGCTCACCGTGTTGCCGCCATGCCCTGTCACTGCCATGCCGGAACCACAACTCACGATCTGCATCCGTGTTTTGGTAAACCCACCCTGGCTCAATCAATGAATCAAACACCCGAGACCTAAATCCGCGAAACTCTAAAATTCCGGCTTCTGCCCGGCAGGAAATGCCTCCTCGCCAACTGCACATCAATGGCGCAACAATCAAACCAGGATGCTTGCACTGCCGCCAGTAAATCCACTCCTTGAGAAACAGCAGGAAGTGGTACAACTGCTGCTTGAATTTGAAGCATTTATTCTTGACGCAGACGACTGCCATGTCCACGCACGGCCACTCTCGTTGTTGCCAGCGTCTCGAAAATCGACCCTCAAACCCAACAGCAGGATCCTCACTAGGCGGTGCCGGACCCTCTTTAGGAGGCCATTTAGAGCCTTCGGTTAGGTGCTTTAAGAATGCAGACAAGTTCTCAGCTGCACAGAATCATCAGGCTCTGGCTGCGCCTCGGAGTAGGTGACACGAATTACAAACCAAGTAGCTGCCTCAGGAAACATGTGGTACTCTGCCATTGCAGCCTACTGCACCTTATCGCTGCTGCTCCAACACCCTTTTCAGCACGGAACACCCTAGTGTTTCCATAAACCATGAACCTCAAACCCTAACCCCACCACCCTCTCCATGAAGAAGGGTTTGGGCCGGTGTCAACGCCTACAGCACGGCGACGCTCACTACAGCGCGGACTATAGATCGCCTGCGTTAACATTCAAAACCGCAACGTTTACAGCCGTTTACAGTTTACATCACGCTTTGTGCACCATCGAGCAATGTCCCTTCGATCTGAGACCCATCCCTGTAAACCTCGGTGATGGCCGTCAGGACCGAGGAATCATGATCGTGATTACACACAGCCCGTTTGCTGGGCTGCCGAGCATCATCCGACGCCTCCGGCTGCTTCTCTTCCTTCTCAAGGCTCTCTTCCTTCGCTGGCCTCGGGCGACTTCAACATTCTCAAAGCACCTCTTCTTCCACGCAGCCTAGAGCGAGCACATCAGCGTCCCCTCTGCTGTGCGCACTGGTCTGCTTGTCCGTCCATCTCGTGAGACATGATGAGGCACCGAAAGGACCCCGCGGGCCCCTTTACGAACACTAGGGACCCACCCTCAGGCCGTGGCGGGGCAAAGCATCTCTCGTTCTCTCTCTCTCTCTCTCTCTCTCTCTCTCTCTACCGGGACAGGAGAGGCAGTGGCAACCCCCACCCCCCCGCGCGCGCACGCGCACCTCTCTCTCTCGCTCTCACGGGCATGAGGGCCTGTCGAAGCGCCCGGGCATCAAGCCCACCCGACTTCTTGTCGGGACAAGGGGAGTGAAGAGCGAATGTAGTTCATCAGTAGGCTAGAGCCTAATATAGAGCTCTCTCTTTCTTTCGGCAGGGTTAGGGGCAAGGAGGTTAATATAGAGCTCTCTCTCTCTCTCTTCTCTCTTGCTTGCTTGCTTGCACGACGTTTGGGGTGGGGCCCCGGGGCCCCAACCCCTGCGCTCTCGCGCTACGCCGAGGTCTCGTGTCTGTTTGTCGGGGTGAAAGTTGCGTGCGATTCGGCCCCCGATGATCGACCCTCAACAACGCACCCCTGTGACCCCTGTGACCAGCTTCGACGTGCTTCTCTTTCTCTCTCTCTCTCTCTCTCTGCTGGAAGCAAGCACCCGGCTCGCTGATATTCTGTGTCTCCAGTGCTGGAGCAGAGGCTCGCTTGGGAAGCCTGCCGCGTGAAAAGATCTCAGACTTCTTTCCGAAGTCTGGAGAGGGGTGTAGGTCTCTCGCTTGGAGGACTTGCCTGGGCTGGCCGGGCCTGGCTCTATCTTTTGCTTTCGCCTGAACGGGGCCGTGTTGACGGATCCCAACGCCGCACTCAAGCGGTATCGAGGACCGAGTGCCACACGCTACTTGAGATCGAACATCTCTCTCTCGAAGCTGCAAAACTGTTCGTGCGCCTGCGCTTCAGCAGAGCTTCCAGTCAAGCACTGGCTGAAACCATGGGACCACGGCACAACTCGCGCCTCATATCTCTTCGCTCGCGGCCCTTGCTTTTGAAGAGATTGCTGGCGGATGCCTTTGCATGCATCGATAGTGTTACAGGTTTACGTGCTTGAGAACGCAAAAGTTATCAGCCACAGAATGAGACAGCACATAGTGATTCACACTTTGCTCAGTGGAAACATACGGGGTTCCCACCCAACAACTTGTTTTGGGGAGTTTCGGGCCGCACAACCCCAAAAAATATGGGAATGCGCCACCTTTCACATAGGATTATTGCTCAGAGCTTCAGCATGAAAACAAATACTGACATTAAAAACATTCTGAAGCAAATTCGCTCATTGACTCAAGACCTCACGTGTGTGACCTACCCGGTGCTTTCCGAAACAATGCAAGTGCTTCAAGTACAGCCGAGCCGAGGCGGACGACGCGAAGCGTCAAAAGTTACCATGTTCCCTCCAACATATATTACTATCATTCCGCTCTGACAGCCAATTTGGTGAGATTTTGCTAGTTCCGTTTCGGCGATGCATTGGCCAGAGCTGTCACGTGCTCACAGCAGCCTGTCGTCACCAAAAACCACACCAGGAGCACCGGGCGTCAGACCCTGCCAGCACAACCCCCGACTCAAAAACAAGAACTGTCTCCGTATCATTCAAGCTCTTGTTCTGCAGTCGTGGCGCAGCAGGTCAAAGCCCCCCACTCACAAGTAAACGCTTTCTCCCTCTGGCTATGAATGCTGCAAATGCCAGATTTCCATCCTCAGAATGTGCGCGACATGCTGCTCCTGAACTAATTGTGTGATCCCAAGAGTTCCGTTATGCTGAACCGCATGTTCGGTAAGGTTTGGCCTGCAGAGATGTCGATGATCGCATCTGCTGTGTCGCCTCGCAAGCTGCCAAGATGGGTTCCCAAGGTCGTGTGAAAAGTCGTCAGAGCATTTGAGCACTTGTTTTGAAACTTCCTGGGACTTGCACCGCAGCAGGCGGCGCCTGCAAGGACTGGGGAGACATGGAGACAACTGGGCCTTGGGACATGGGCTAGCCTGGCTGATTTTTCTATGCCGCCATCGGACCAGAGAGCCTTGCAGCATGATGTCGCCCTGACACAGGGCTTGAAGGCATCCCATGGATAGCAACGGAGTTTATTTGGAGTTTACAGCTTGCACCTGGAACAAGAGCATGTCCTTATTGTACCTGAGCCAGCTTGCTCAAGCTGTCTTTCCTTTCCTGCAAGTCTTGCCTTTGCACTTTGAAGACGAGTGGCAAACTGCGGCTGACCACAGCAAAAGCTTGTGGTGAAACTGTTGTGGTGTGCTCTCTCACTCTTCGCCTTACGCAAGTCCGTACTGCTCAAGTTGTATCAGCACATACCAACCTGAGGCATGGGTACCCTCGTGTTGCTCTCTTCTTCATCGGCTGCTTCAAAGGCCTCCCATGGTCACGGCCCCACCCCAAGAAGAGAGCCCCCTGGTCTTATGCCACAGGTCAGTGGTCATTGAGCCGATGCAGCGTGCACAACTTGACCTGGCAAACTTCAACATTGAAGACCATGTCACCCGTTTGACTGTAGCAGCATTGCTTCGAAGTGCTTTGCAGTCCTGAAAGCAACATTTTTTTGGATCCAAGCCGACTGGACGTAGGCACGGCTCAGCTGTGGGAAGTCCGCACACCTGCTGTTCCTGGGAGTCTTTCAGCGCTGCATCTCTCTTACAAACGCTGTGCTCCACACGTGGCGCACAACCTGCAGCTCGCTCTCCGAAGCACGCGGGCGCGCCTCGTCACTTGTAGGAGCTCTCCTGACCGGCGACATGGCCGGACCAGTGGATTGACACGCTGGGGAAGGCTGAATCGGGTCTCTTTTTTGATTGAACACATCATAGCCAGGCGACTTCGTGAGGATTTCTCAACGGTCCTTTTCCTGAGAGGCAGTCCAAAGGGAGATGAGTTCATCTGCTGGCCTGGCCTTATCTTCATCACCATCTCCCTTGACAAGCCAACTCAAGAAGCTTGCCTTGTTGAATTGGATTGCACTAGTCATTGGTTTGTTCGTTAGCTCGGGTCATAACTCAACACTGCGTGCCCAGAACTGCATGCAGTGGCTTGCAGTCTTGCAACTTGGTGCCCAGTGGCACTGTACCACAGAACTGTCATGGAAAGTCACAAGAAGATGTGGATAATATAGATCAGTGAAACAAATTGTTATGCACCTCAGATTCTCGCCTTTCACCTGAACGGAATGTTCCCACTGCCGCGGCTCATCGGAAGCCCTGCCACAGGCTCCATCATGGCAACACCTGATGACTGCACTCGGATGGGGGATGGCGTCCGCGAGCTCGCAATGGAAGCGGGGCCACGAATGGTGGAGGGCACTGTGCAGCTTTGTGGCCACACCTGTGCGCTTCCGAGGGTAGGTCCAGAAAAGGTCATGGAGCCAGGCTGAGAAACATAACCTGTCACGCCTGCTGGCACGGAGCCCTGTTTCTCATTCACGGCGGAGGTTTCTACCTCGACCACACGCTCGATATAGTTCATTGCTATCTTTGGAACTTCCTTTATGACTTCCTGGTACATGGGTGCCAGCTCCTCACGGACAACTTCGACGAGATTGGCCTGCGGAAGTTCGACTGCCTGCTCCTCGACGAGGACTTGTGGCACGTGCACGACACGCTCCTGCACTTCTGTCGTGAGCTTTGGCACGACACGATCCCGTGGCTCAAACTTTGGTCGTAGCTTTTGGGTCACGATTTCCACCGCTGCCACCTCCTCCACCTCGACCGGCTTTTCGTGAACCAAATGAATGGGCACCTCCACATGTTTGGTCTCCGATTGCAGCTGCACCTTGGGGAACTCTCTCGGGGCGTCTTGCCACTGCACCTTTGCAACCTGGCGGATCTGCTCAACTGCCATGACCTGCATCACCTCCACCGGTTGCTCGTGCTGGAGGTGAACTGGTACCTCCTCCACCCGCTCATAGTACCGAAGGTCCTTCTTCGGGATACGCTTATCCACGTACTGGACGATTGTCTTGGGTACCTTGCGCACAACCTCTCGGATTTCCACCTCTGGCACCTCTACAATCCTCTCCTGATAAATCACCTGAGGAACTTCGACAACCCGTTCTCGGTATTCGAAGACAGGCTTGGCAACTTTCTTTTCCACGTACTGCACCTCCACCTTTGGGACCTGGCGCACAACTTCGCGCAGCTGCACTTTGGGAACCTCGATGATGTTCTCTTGCACCTCGATATGGGGGACATCCTCGAAACGCTCCGTTATCTGGACTTGCGGCCGCTCAGCCTGGCGCTCCACCTGCTGCACCTCCACCTGACAAAAGGAACTCACAACGCAAGATGGCGAGACGCGGGTACCAGCATCTTGTATGTATAGGCTAACATAGTAAAGGGAATCGTCAGCCAGCCATCAGAAATGGGGACGGGGGAGGGAAGGGGGTGTACTTCTTCGGTGAGGTAAGGCACTCGAATGCAGGCTGCCGCTCCCCCTCCCCTTTTGTTAGGGTGGAGAATTTGCTTTTGCCCTTTTTTTTTGCTTTTTTTGGCCCTTTTTTTGTTTGGCTCCGGGTGGGGGGGGGGGGGGGG